AAAGAGGGAGGGGCATTTTCATTGTCACTGGGTGTCACTGAGGAGGTTTTCAGCATAGAAAATGGATATTGGTCCTCAATCGGACATGTTCTTATGGAAGTGTCAGCGTTGATTGTAAACATCTTGTATCATACAAGTAACAGAACATCAGAGGTTATTTTAGATGAACTCTCAATTCAGGTGAAAACTTTCCACGCCGATTACAATCATCGTTGCTCAATTCGTTGAAGAAATCTCTCACTTCAGGCATTAATGTCAACATATACTATTACTATCATTCCTCAATTCACTGAAAAAGAAAATAATCTTTGTAAATTCTGGTTTTCAGGGAAAATGGATCACTTCATTCACTTGATTACAGCTTACTTGGGGTCTTTTTCATGAACCTTTTGAAGGTGATATTTTTCCAAACTTAAAATGAAAACCATTCCTCAAATCATTGAAGGAAACAATTTAATAATCTTCAAAAATTCTAGTTTTCAGTCAAAATGAATAATTTTTATACAATTTAATATACCAAAGGCATATTATATGATATTCTCAATTAGATGAAAAGTGACACACCTAATGTCTTTTGAATATTCATTGACGAAACAAACCTCAGTCCTCATACAATGTACAGGTACATGTACATTGTAAATACTAGACTTCAGTCAAGATTAATACATGCTGATCAATACATCTACCTGTACAGTACTAACTGAATCTTCGAGGAAAAGTTCAGAAATGTGCAATGGGTTCTTCTTTTCTTTGTTCTGGACAGCATTCTTCTCTTCAAGTCTTTGTACAATATGACAGCTTTTGAGGTTGGTACGATCCAATCACCTGCATGCTTGTTAATAGAACCATCTCTATCTCTGGAACAGGGTTCAAATAATTCAACAATGACTAACTAGTGAACCTACTGTAGGTGCCTTTTGAGGACGTGATATTATGGATTGTTGTCTTCTTTTACAAAATGAAACTCTTAAAAATTCAAAATGGCGACGCTGTCATGTGACTGTGATATCCATATTGGACAAATTTTTTGTGTGTGTCATACTACAAACTATAGACACCTTATGAAGAGTTTTTATTATTTGTTTGTTTGTTATTGTATTTTATTTGTTTTGTCTTTTATTTTTCACAAAAAAATGTGTAGATCATTGATTCTTTCTACAAAGCAAAACTCCAATCGCAGTGTGTCTGCACAAAACATGTCAAGGCATGCAGTGACTACTACCGTTTGAACTCATTTCCAAACTTCAACTTTTTCTACAGAAAATCTAGCAAAACCTACGATGTACAGTGTAAAATCAGTATTCATTTAAAAACAAAAATGAAAGATAGTCATTACAAATGTACCAGTATTCTTTGAGTAGCATGCATCAACATGGCTCACTCCAGAAATTACATGCCAGGTGGATGCATATATTGTACATGTACATAGTACCATGTTCATTAGCTGAGCTATGGATAGTAAATAGAGATCTAGACTTTGTACTCTGTTGCATAATGCTTCCAGACAAAGTTGATGCATGCCTACAAAAATATTGATGCAATCTTAGCAAACATTTATTCGTCTTATCTCCTGATATTTAAACCTCACACCACCTTAAGCAGCAGAGACGGGAAGCTATGAAGGCTACCATGTTCCGCACACAACACAGTGAGGGGCTTGGCTCAGTCGGCTGAGCTCGTTATGTGTAAATTTTGGAGAACATTTAAGTATACAAATCTTTGAAGCTTGAATACCCATTTTGAATTTCTGTTTCTCCTGTCAATAAAAGGTCTTTGAGATACATTATTCCTAACTTCAAATGAATCAGCTTGTACAAGAAGTAAAGGACATGCACTAGTCCATGATTGATTTCAATTATAAAACCTTTATAATATACGGTACTCGTAAAATCAGTGTTCATCTCTCTGTAATTATGTACATAAAGGCCTTCATGACCTCTATAAAAGCTGGAATCTGCTCTGTAAATTTCATATTTTTGGTGATTCCCAAAGTCTTGAAATAAATATTCCTCATTTCAAAATGATCAGGTACAAATGTAATCCATAATTGCATGTGAAGATTTCAACTACACAATTCTAAAGAGACAATAAAACTGCACCTGTACGCATACATGTACAGTACATGTACATGTAGAATACTGCATGGTGACAATGTACTTCATATGGTGTTTCTAGACATGTACATTTGTATGGATTTCAATGAAACAGTACTAATTGTATATTTTGTAAAGTGATGCACGATGACCTTATTACACTTGGTGTTACATTATTTGTCATAAGTGGCATAAACACCAGGCAAGCACACTTGGGTTGTAATTGTAATAATGACTCATTATTAAAGAAACTTAAATCAACCATTGAACAGTTCAAGGTAGCCTAAATAAACTGAATCCTTTGTGCTACTGTAGCTCCGAGCTCGAGTTCAAGTCCCGGAATTTGTTGATTGAATATCAGAGGGAGAAAGTGAGCTTTCATAAATAATCAAAGGTGCACATGACACTCTTTAAATGACATGTTACCAGCTTTCATTTCCGTTTGGAGCTGCCATCATCGTGTGAACTTCTGGAAATTTGGAGGGTGTGGGAGAAGGCCGACATTTTTCACTGTTCAAGTTAAGGACAAAGTGATCAAAAGTAACAAAAAACATGTACATGTACATGTAAGTATCAACTAAACCTTCAAAGCGGATTTGCTTGAGCTTCTTCATTTTTAATTAAGAGTACTGATTACTGTACATAATGTGCACTTGTTTATTTTAGGATCCGTTTATGTGAAATCTGGCATTTCTAGGCTTGTGAATAAAGTTACTTAAAATAATAATTCTCTCAATGGTTTTTACTCGTTTTTTTGCTTGAATGCATATGAGGCCAAAATGTTATGTTCTTTGCATGTTTTGTTTTATCAGAATTGCAAAGGTACACATAATGTACATGTATGCACAGACAAGGGCGCTGCCCAGACGTGGGCACTCTAGCAATACTATTTCTTGTCTGACATTGACTTATCATGATGCTTTTTGAAATAGTATGAAGGGGAGCCCTATGGCTACAATGTACATGTATGTCTGCGCATCAAAAATTTCACTCAAAATTTGCAAGGATTTTCTATCGTATTCTCCTAGTGCTTCATCTCATTTTATTTCTTACATTCTAAAAAGAAAGTGTGCCGAAAATGTTGTCGAAATTCAAGCAAGAACAACATCATACTGTATTCACAAGGAAAGACATCTCATCTTTGCAAAAACAAAGGTTCCCATGTTTTTGAACTAATTCACTTTACACACAGTTCAGGATTTTTAAAGTAAAATATAGTATTTTGTAGCTTGTGAATAAGATTTATGAAATATTTTGTATGTCTCGCTTAGTATTTTTTATTTTTGTGGGGAAGGAATACGTATCGCTATAATAGAGACAGACATTTTGTGTTGCTTGCATGTTTTGTTTTATTAGAATCACACAGTTACGCCTATGCGCAGACAAGGGCGCTATGCAGATACATGTATGGGCACTCTGGCCATGCACAGTAAAATTCTAGATGATTTACGAATAGATCTAGTGCTGTGACTTGCGAGTTAGCATTTAATTTCTTATCCATTTAAACATAATATTTTCAGACAATTCTTCTTCTTCTTTGATGTAGTCTAACCTTGATGATTCTTGCAAGACAAAATTAACCAGTTACATGTATGATTATAAGGAGTAATGAACCCAAGAGGCTTTTGACATAATCGTAACTCATCATAAGCCTAAATCACCCTTTAAATCACAGAAAATACCACACATCAGATTTAGTAGTTAGTCAAACCTAAGCCAGAGCTGAACAGGCAGAGCTGAGGTGGCACTGACAGTGGTAATATGGATATATTATTAATGAATGAATTGGCAACTTTATTTGAATTTGATTTGCTATCTTTGAGGAATGCTCCGTCTAGTGAGAGACTACTGTACACTGTAACTGATGTCCGTGTTTTTGTGTCCTCTCAAGACTCAGTCAGAGACTCTCAGAGTCGGACAAGTCTGACTCTGAGACAGAGTTTGATTTAAGTTTTAATTTTGAAGTCCCACTCTCTTTCTTTCTTGACCTACCGAGACTTATGATAATAATATCAACTCTACATGTAGATCTAGAATCTACATGTAAGCCTATCTATAAATTTATACCGGTAATCAAAATATCCGGATTCTACCCCAAGTACAAACAAATCCTGTAAAGAGAATAATTGTGCATTGTTAGGGTTAGGTTTAGGGTTAGGGTAAGGATAGGGTTAGGATTAGGGTTAGGAATAGGGTTAGGGTTAGGATGAGGGTGGGCGTGAAGGTGAAAAATAGTGCAGGGGAATACATGTAGAGTCTAGGCCTAATTTATAGTGCGTAACTATTCTCTTTTCGGGCTTTTTTTTCTTCTTTGGGCAGAATCTGGAAAGAAACACCTTTAGATTTACGTTACTATAGTCTACCACAATACATTTTCATAAATGCAGAGAAGTAAACAATAATGAATATTGGTTCATTGAATAAGGCTCAGCCTCAGTGTGAGACGAACAAAAACGAAACACCGTTCCAAAGGCAAAGTCAAAGAATCTGGAGAATGAATAGGTCTAGTCTAGATCTAGAATCTAGATCTAGATAGACTAGATCTAGAATCTACCAAGTTTAGATTTACTAGTAATAGGGTCTAGATCTAAGTTAGGGCCTACGTTAAATATTAGTCTAATTAATATATTTTCACAAATGCATAGAAGTTAACAATAATGAATATTGGTAAATTGCTTAGGCTCAGCCTCAGTGTGAGACGAACAAAAACGAAACACCCTTCCAAAGAATCCAAGCTTCCAAGCTTCCTGCGAAACTAGATTCAGGAAGCAACGAAACGCGATACACAACGCCCGAGCTTGCCCAGTCACAGGCCGGACCCAGCCCGTTGCAAAGATAGCTACCGCCTCAGTTTCAAACGAACATTATCGAGGCTTCATGTAAAACGTATAAAAGTCCATATCTTACCTTGCCCCTCTTCTTCCTGTCTCTTATTTTCTCCATATTATTCCTGATAGTATTCCATTCTGATGTTTCTCCGAGAAAAGCATACAAATCCAGGGAAATTCGACACCGAGTTTAGCTAAACTAATTCGGCATTTTCGTCGTGAAGCGTCATCGAAGACGCCATCTTGAATCATAGCCTACAGCATGCTATTCCACAAAGAAGCTAACCCCCTCCGTAAGATTTTCCAAGAAAATGTAAAATAGTTTAAAATACAAGGTTATGCATTATTTATAAAATTCATATTACCTTTTGAAAGTTTTTAGTATATATCATATTACTACTGGTAGTTAAAAAGTGTGATTTTATTGACAAAACTATGAGTATTTGGCATTCAATTTATGAGTGATTGGAAGAACTCAATGGTAGCTACTACCAAGGGAAGAGCGCACTTTCGGAACATCTCGAGCTTTTGAAGGTTTTTTTCTTCAGAAAGAAGTTTTGACAATAGCTGTTTGCCAACAAAAGAGAATAAACTGATACACTCGGGTGCCTTTAGTTGTTTTCCTCGATTGGATTCGATACGTCTTCTTTTCTCTCAACGAGCGGTCGTAGTAAATCTTTGAAAGGTGAAGACCGTTGGCTGATTTAAATCAAAATAGGACTCCTTCAATTATATAAGATTGGCGTCATTCCACCAGAAACGTCAGAATAATTATACTTGATTTTTATGACTGGCTACTTCTCATGAAACTCACAACAACTTTTTAATAGGGACGCCGGTACTTCTTTTGTTATTTCAAATTTGTCTGAGAACTCCGAAAGAATCCTTGTAATTAACCACGTAATGGGCGGCGGGGAGGGGTGAATGGTCAAAATAACTGGGAAGCATGGGCACATCATCATTATTGGTAGCAACTATAGGGGGGGGGGGGGTGTCTATCGTGAATATTCGATGGATCCCCTTTTGTCGTATGTTCAATTGCCCACCAAATTCTTTTAGCCTGGTGAGGCCTTCAAATTTTTCGGCTGCCTATTCATTCACCCTGTCATATTCTTAGCCCACAAAACACAAATTAACACAAACCGGTATTACTTTCATATTTAAAATTAGGCATTTCTTTTTCATTCAATAAATACAACACTGATCAGAGCCCTTTCATTTTCTGATATGAACGCATTCAAAATGATCTTTCATTGCGCATCCGATAAACTTCACTAGGCCTGTATGAAATTTTACCAGGAAGCTCAGACTGATCTCTTAACCTCCTTCAACTTTTTATTTTTTGTATTTAAAAATAATTTATTATCTTTTTTTTATAAAGCAATTTTGTCATCAAAATAATACCATATGAGACAAAAATACAATATTAGAGCACCTTGCCGCCCAAGTATAGAGTGGTGAGGGTGCCCTGATGCAGGTGGTTTGCCAAAGTAAAATTATCGAGGAGGGGCAGCCGTCCCAAGCCCCCCCCCCCCCCCCCTCCCCCCTATATCCATAATATCGGATGAAAAGGCGACACGGTTGTACGGATCATGAAGCTCTTTGGAATGATCTCCTTTTCTTTTACAACGGTAGAGAGCGCCAAACAAAAAGCAATGCTGGAAAAAAAGAGACGGCGGTTTTGTTAGGGATGTGTGCATCGCTAGGCCAAAGAAAATTCGATACAATGTGTTTTCCGTTACACATGCCCCGACCATGCACCCTTCAATCTCGAAGTAGTAAAGAAAAATAAATGACGAAAGAGGGAGGGAGAAAGAGAGAAAGAGAAAGAGAAAGAGAGTGAGAAAGAGAGAGAGAGAGAGAGAGAGAGAGAGATTGAGAGAGAGAGAGAGAGAGAGAGGGGGGGAGAGTGAGAAACAGAGAGAGAGAGAGAGGGAGAGTGAGAAACAGAGAGAGAGAGAGAGGGAGAGAGAGTGAGAAACAGAGAGAGAGAGAGAGAGAGAGAAAAACGGAGAGAGAGAGAGAGAGAGAGAGGGGAGAGGGGGGCAGCAAGATGACAGAAGCCTGCGTGCCCCTCCCTCCCCTTTCGCATATACGCTTTCTATGCTACACTAGCTACAGTGGATAACAATCCGTCCTTTGGTTAGGAAGTTAAATGGAGGACCAGTTAGGAGGGAGTCGACACCTATCATTAATAGTGCACGTCATGTCACTTGAAGACCAGTGCACTCTTTATGGTACAAGAAATTAATGTAAGGGAGTGGACCCCTGTGTGTAGTTCGGGAAAGACCTGAAGGTTTGGCATACAGTAATAATGTCGATCCCCAATCATTATTTTATCCATAAGAACAAGGCCGCCATCCTAGTCAAGCTTCGCTTCGCACTTTTTCAAGTGATAGTTTGGATAATACTTTAAACTTATAATAATATGTTATAGAAATATTAAGTTTTGTTATTATATGTACATAAATTATGTTTTAAAAAAAAATTAAAAAAACATTTCGACATGAAGTTATCAGTGTATGTATATTTTGTATTATACCTTACATAATTATAATGTTCTTTGTTATTTTGTTATTATAATTGGAAAAATGCAGAAATCAAATCAAATCAAATCAAACATAATATCTCCCATCACCCCCCCCCCCTCCCCCGGCCCCCACCGTAAGTCAATATTTGTATTGGTTCTGTCCTGTTTTGGATGTCTATATTTTAATTTTAATGTTTTTTATTTCACTATTAGATGAACAGGGAGATAATTTATACAAGACCTCATTGTCATGCAGACGTATTATTAAATTCCGCAAAAATGAGGGTCTCTTCGCATTTCAAAATCATTCTTAATTCGTTCATCTAAGTAATTCGCAAGAACAAAATGACATCACTTTTAAGCACTGGCGTACCTATGGGGGGGGGGCAGGGGGGCAGAGTGCCCCCCCCCCCTGACGGGCTCCAGGGGAAAAAAAGAAAAAGGGGAAAGAAAAGAAAAAAAAGGAAAGGGAAGAAAAAAAGGAGAGAAAGAGAAAAAAAGGAAAAAAAGGAAAAGGAAAGAAAAAAGGAAGAAGAAGAGAAAAGGAAAAAAAGGGAAAAGAAAAGGAAAGGAAAAAAATGGGGAAATTAAAAAAAAAAAGACCATGGCCGTACGCACCAGGGGGGGGGGGGCAGTTGACCCCAGATATTTTGAAAACGTACAGTTTTTTTCCTGCAAATGTAGTGTAGGCCTATACCAAATCCTTCAATTCTACTTTTGAAAAAGCAAAAGTACCCTCATGACCAGTTCGGTCGCTCGAACTCCCTTCACTCCTTTTGCTTTTGAGATTCTTCGAAAACTTTTAACGCATCTTTCCCCCCTCCCCCACCAGAAAAATATTTCGCATACGGCCCTGAAAAATTGAGACAAATGAAAATAGGAAAATATAAGTGATATAACAAATTCGAAACTCTTCGCTGGCGCGAACTGCTTGCTAGCCTATTTTGTATTAAATGTTTTCACTTGCCCGTCCCCCTGAAAAAAAAGAAAAGGATTAGCATTGCCTAGAATACAATTGTGCCTGCCCCGACGGGCCCCGACCTGCAACCATGGCAACAATAACACACAGTGTATGTACCAAATGTTACTAAAAGAGAGTAATTCATTTTTCTCGCTCGCTACACTTGCTCGCGAATAAAATGAATAGATATTGCTTTGGAAACAATTGTGCCTACCCTTGACCTGCAACAATATCATTAAAAATGGAAGAGTTTTTACGCCCTCTCGCCAAAAAGGAATTGAATCGCGTTAACATGATTGCGTCCATTCTGACCTGCACCAATAAAAACTAGTTTATTTATTAATTTCTATTAAAAGAGAATTTTTTTTTTGCTTGCTCGCTATGCTCGCTCGCCAAAATGGGATTGACACCGCTAACGTGCCCGCCCCAACCTTGCTCGCTATGCTCGTGCTCGCCAAAACGGAATTAACATCACCTTAGACATGATTGTGTAAGCCCTGCCCTGCAACAAAAAAAATCTGAAATTTATGAACCAATTATCATTACAAAAATTTTGCTCGCTCGCCAAAATAGAAATAACACCGCTTTTAATAATCCCGTCCCTGACATGGAACAATGAACCCAAGTTTATGTACCATATTTTCCCTATAAAAGAGAAGTGATTTTTTTTTGCTCGCTCGCTACGCTCGCTCGCCAAAATAGAAATAACACCGCTTTTAATAATCACGTCCCTGACATGGAACAATGAACCCAAGTTTATGTACCATATTTTACCTATAAAAGAGAAGTGATTTTTTTGCTCGCTCGCTACGCTCGCTCGCCAAAATAGAAATAACACCGCTTTTAATAATCACGTCCCTGACATGGAACAATGAACCCAAGTTTATGTACCATATTTTCCCTACAAAAGAGAAGTGATTTTTTTGCTCGCTCGCTACGCTCGCTCGCCAAAATAGAAATAACACCGCTTTTAATAATCACGTCCCTGACATGGAACAATGAACCTAAGTTTTATGTACCGTATTTTCCCTATAAACGAGAAGTGATTTTTTTCGCTAGCTCGTGGAATTATGTGCGCAACACTAACCTGCTACAATATCATTAAAAAGAGAAATGTAGGGGGTTGCCTTCCCGCCAAAATGGGATTGACATTGCCTTAAACACGATTGTGCCCGCCCCCGACCTGCAACAATGAAACAAATTGTATATAGCAATTCATTGAGAGAAAGATGTATTTAGGCTCGTTAGCTAAAATGGGTATGAAATCACCTTAAACACAATATTGTTCCCGCGCCCTGCATGGGACAATTGAACCAAGTTTAAGTGGCAGTTATTAAAAAAAGAGTGATTTTTTTCTTGCTCGCTACGCTCGTTTGCAAAAAAATGAAATTAACGTCACTAACAAGTGAATGTTCCCACCCCAACTTGCAACAATACCAGTTTATATACCAAACGTTACTTAAAGATTTTTTTTTGCTCGCTCGCTCGCCAGAAGTGAAAATTAGCATCGCCTTTTTTGTTTGTTTCGGTCGCTTGCCCCCCCCCCCCCCCCCCTGACGGAGTACCCCAGGTACGCCACTGCTTTTAAGGTGCTTTCATCTAAAGACATGGGATTACTTATATTGCATTTTTTAAATCCCGATTGTTTGGGTTTTCTTTAGATATTAATGCGTTCACCGAATCATCTATTTTTTCAATATTTATTTTATGATGAGGTGTAATGATTTCGGAAAGGAATTGCCCCTAGATCCATGTATATATGCCGCTTGACATCGTGATATTTCTGTTTATATTCCATCATC